AGCATATGAATCTTTGGAGTAAAAAAAAATACAAACAAAAAGAAATCTTACTTCACAGCAAACTGCTTTAACCAAGTCAGATTCCATTAACTCAGATTAGCAGACCTGATCAATGATAGTGCTTTAGAATTCCAGACAGGGATATCACCCTTACTTGGCTATAGAACACGTGGGGCTTCTGTATGCAAAGATAGTAGCATTCCTAAAGTTCTCAAAAATTTGCAACACTGAGAAAATATTTAGCCATTACTTTGACAAAATTAAGGAAAAAAAAAACACACAAGAAAGTGGATCCTCTATGTCACGGGTGTCAGACTCGATTGCGTCACGACGTATCATGACGTATCACAACGTTTTTTGCCTTTGCAGAGCTGGGGTGGGTGTGGCCTGTGTGTGATGCACTTGGCCTGCGGGCCGCCAGTTTGATACCCTGTTCTATGTGGTGCAGCAGTGAATAACACCTGACTCCTTTTTTGTGGTACTTGGAGCACTGTAAAATTAGCGTGGTGATTCCTGAATAATAGCAATATAGTCCTTGACTTATGGCAATTAGGACCAGAATTTCCTATGACCTTGATTACCACAGGTAAGTGAATCCAGCTTCCTCCACTGACATTGTGTGCTGGTTGGGAAGGTCACAAATGGCAACCAGGATCTGCAATGTTGTATATACATGCTGGTTGCCAAGCACCTGAATTTTGATAACCTGACATGGGGATACTGTGATGGTCATGTGAGGACCATAAGACACTTTTTTTCAGTGCTGCTGTCACTTTGGTCACTAAATGACTACCTATTGAAGTGGTGGCGAACCTATGGCACGCATGCCAGAGGCGGCACTCAGAGCCCTCTCTGTGGGCACACGCGCCATGCTCCGAAGATGGCAACCATCCTTCTTCAACCAGCCACCCACTAACTCACCAAGGTCCCACATGGCCAGATGCATCCCAGCACCCATGCGCTCCCTGGCCTCTGTGTGCAGGGGTCGATGGTGTCAGGCAGCAGCCACCCCGGCCTCACCTTGCCCTGTGACAATGGCACCCCTGCCCTGCCTCACCTTGCCTCACCCAGCAGGACGAGCCTCCTGCCAATGTCCCACCTGCCAGAAACCCCCTGGATCTCCCCCAACCCTGCCCAGCCCCCACAGGCGTCCCTCCCCATGAGCAACATCTTGTCCACACCCAACCAATCTGCCATGACCACCACAGCCACGCCCACCCAGTGAGCCATGCCCACCTGGCACCCGGTGATAAATAAGTGGGTTTTGGGTGCAGTTTGGGCACTTGGTCTCTAAAAGGTTCACACTGAATTATAGCATTTCAAGTATTTTGAGACTGGAAATACTGCAACTAAAAACTATAGCCCCCCCCAAATAGGTTTTACATTAAAACAAAATCCTCTTAGCTTAAAAAAAGAGGAAAGAAGTCCAAGATCTATCCAGATATACATGAGCATTTTGTGATGAGATCTCACTCATTTCTGCCAACAAATCTGAAGTGTAACCATGTTAAAATGTTACTGATATTGGATAAAGAAAGGTGTTGGAAGAAATATAAACTTAAATTCACTACCACTGAAAAACCTTTTAGCTCAAATGAATTCCCCTCATTTTTTTTTTAAAAAAAGCCCCTCCGATTGAGATGATTATAAATGTATTACCATGTGTTTTCACAAATTTTTATCATGTTTTAAATTAGGGGCCAAGCTGAATTACGTTTTTAAATTTCTAAATAATGTGATGTTGTATTTATGTTTAAACCATAAATAAACAAGACCCAAATAATTTTGAAAACTCTAAGGAAAGATAAAATGAATTACAAAAGGGAGAAAATAGCTATGTCACAGAGCAGAAATTTTGTATAGCAAGTGATAAATTTATTGGCATTGACTAGAAATACTTTTGTAATTTACCAATAGCCAGAGAAAATACAATCATCACAGAATTCACATTGCATGAGTCAAACTGCATTAAAAATACCTCAGCTTGGCAAATACATTTATGCATTTTTAAGCCAAACAATGTTTTTAATTGAGTAAAAATTGAACAGACTGTTTCAGCAAATGTAACCATATTATTAAAGAGAAACTGAGCTAAATTTATATAGATTGTTGAAGGCTGGTTTGTTAATTGTCAGCACATCTGGATTTACTAACAGATGGTTTCACACAAAAGAAAAACTACATTTAGAAGGTTTTATTAGCTTTCAGTTTAAAGGCAAAATAAGAATCACTCTCATTTTCAGTGTGTGTGTGTGTGTGTGTGTGTGTGTGTGTGTGTGTGTGTGTGTGTGTGTTAAAAAAACTAAAAGAAAAGTCTATTCTGGGCCAAAGAAGATAATGAAACAATCCTGTTCTGGTACCTTTCAGGAAGTAAATAGGAAAAAACAAGTACAGGTTTATTCCTAACAAGACTCCAATTCAAAATGAAGCTATATTACAGAAACTGTGCTGCACAACAGTTTTTCCTGAATTTATAGCTTCTGCTATAAATGTTATCCTTTGTCCAATTTTGGCTTGTGTGCCATTGCAGCTATCACTGGAACCAGAGACTTTATTGATGGTCACTTGTGCTTTTCTCACCTTATAACTGCTGCAGTTGCCTCTACATGGCACTTGCCTTTGAGAACCATTCAGAAACTAGACCTGATTCAAAATGTACCTGCTTGCATACTAACAGGTCAAGTCTAATAATAGCTATGAAATACCAATATTGCAGGAGCTGCCTTGGAAACCAGCATATCTGTATTTGATTAAACTGTGATCTACTGAATGTCATAGTGTGAGAGGGTTCTTTTTTTAAAAAAAAAATATTGGTGATATATTTATTGCAAAGGTGGCAAAGGACACAATAACACATGCTACTGGGCATTATGTTTTTTACTAGTTATTTGTATTAAGTATTTACAACAGCGTTAAGCAAGTTCTGATGTCAGGTTTCCTCCCAGGTCTCCCTCCCAGTGACCCCTAGCCAGTGGTGGGATTCAAATATGTGAACAATTGGTTCTCTGTGTGGATGCCGCTTCCAGAAGTCCATTCTGGGCCTGGGCAAAAAAAGTTAGCTACTGGTTCTGCCAAAGTGGTGCGAATCAGTTGAATCCCATCACTGATCCTACCTCTCTCTCTTCTGCTTCCTCCTTTCTCTATATCTCCCTCCCGTTTCTGGCTTGATGTGTGTATGTAAAAAATAAAGGACTGGACTTTACATAATGTGTTCAATGTGGTTTAAATATTCTCATCTCAACCAAAACATCTATTATTTCTCCATTGGAGGATGAATCTCTCTCAGGGTCTTCTGCCCAGATTTTCCCTAGGAACCAAGGTGTCTCTACTGACAACCAATTCCCTCTGCTCCCTCCAGGATTTTAGATGTAGTTGACACCTGCAGCCAGCCAAGTCCCTCCTTCCCATTCTTGGGTCTTGTGTGGAGCTTTCATACCACTGGGTCTTTACTTCTTCTTCCAAGAAAGACCCCTGGAGTGTTCTTCTCAACAAACAAATGCTCAGCACACTTCATTTTTCTGTCCAATGTCTCTCTTTCCAGCTATTCTGTTTACTCCAATTACTGTCTTTTATCTCCATTCTCTTCACTTTACTTTGTACAATAACTTAAAAGGTAGATGTCCCCCCTCCAGGGCTCTAGTCTCCAACACCTGTGAACTTTGCTATATGGGACACCTGTCACATAATCTCCCCATACCAGCCATGGCTAGCAGCCAGGTCAGCTCATCGGTCTCTTGATAGAGCAGCTGCCCTTCAAAGCCAGAACTAAGGATTGATTTTTTTTCTCCTTTTACTCAGTCAGCAGCAACAGCCATGCCAAGCCACTCAAATCCATAGATCACATTAACAAAGAAAGCAGCTGTTCTAATTGTCTTTTCATGCATTTAGGGTCTTACACTGCATTGTAAAATCAGAGCTTAAAATATTTCAAGTGAATGTTTTATTAAAGGTCTAAAGTTCCCTTTAAAGGGATTTTAAAATAATACTTTAATACTCTTTTAAAAGTACTCTATTTTTATTCAAATTGCTGAATTCTATTTTGCCTGCTATAAATTTTAATGCTATAATAGTATATCTAAGCCAGAATAGTTTAACAAAAACATAACATCTAATACTTGATTTCACAGAAAATCGAATTGTATTACACAACATTGTAAAAAAAAGATATACTGACAATAGTTGATTGGGAACATGAAAAATATGCAGCAATGATGAAACTAACAGAGTATATACAGAAGCTTCTCTAAATTTAATCAAGAATGGCCTCCATATATACTATATAGAACACAGCAAGGCAAATTAAATGTTTATATTTTATATTATATAGTTTCTAAAGCTTATGTTAATAAATGCTGTAAACTGATTGAAATAAAAAGAAGGGGTTGGAAATTACTTATTGTTTCCTTATCTTTTCCTTATTTTTAGTATTTACAAATAGAGGGAATTCAACATTAAATTCGAAGATTTATGGCTGTAGGTAGGTAACCAAAAACACTGTGTTCATAAAACATACTAAGCAAACAAAGTACATTATGACTTAGCATGCTGTGTGAACTCAATCAATTGTTTATCTAAAATACCAGGACCACTTAGGTAGCAGCATCTAGCAATCTTGGATCAAAATCAGACCTGATTAGCCTGGGACTAGGTAGTATAGAAGATCATTAGCGAATATCCTCGCCGTAAGTTAGACATGTAAACAGGCACACACAAAAAACTTTAGAAGGTAGCAGTGGTGAAGGCTTCTATAATGTTGCCAAGAAAACTATATGCCCATGTAATCACCCACTAGGAGCTAAGCACAACACAAAGAAACCAATACGTTCACATTTATAGCGTAGTTAAACTACAGCTTAACAACATTGTATTAACCCAGTATTCCTGTTTATTAACCGTGGCTTTTATCTGTCATTGAGTCAAGCCATCCATAACTTAGTCAATAAACTAATATTAAACTAACCATTATGAAAATACTAACATTACTCCAATTCTCCGCTTACCATTACGAATATTTTTCCTACTAGCCATGGGGCTATTTATCTTTTGGTCGAGAGGAAGTCCCAACAAAACCACATATTCGCAGCGCAAACTGGGAGACATTTTAGACCAATAGGCGCTGCCTATTGGCTTTCTGAGGAGGAGCTTCCGGGGTCACGATTAAGTGGTAGCGGTTTCCTTCTGGTCGGCCAAAAGGGCATATAAGGAAGTCCCGTCCGGGCCGCAACCATTATCGTCGCCGACTTCAGGAAGCGGTGTTGGAAGGAAGAGCTGTAAACAAACACTGTGGCCCGGCGAGACAGGGCGGCTAAGCGGGACAAGACGGGTCGGAGACATCATTAGGAGAAACGAACAGCCTGCGCAACAAAAATTTTGCTCGTGGCCGACTGACTTGTTTCTCTCGGGTAGGTACAGGGACATTGAACTGGACGAGAAACCCCGGGAGAATAGATTATCCCTGTGATCTAGATCATTATAAAAGATGTCCCACAGACCTTAAAGGAAAATGAAGTACCATCATTTTACCATGTTATTTATATCTATACATCTTGTGTATGCCTATGAATCTAAAACACAGTATTTCAGATAAGATTCAATCTTACGCTAAAACATTAGTTGCCTCTAATTGTTATAATTTAAATATTTCTGGCTTGTTAGCATCTTTAAATTTTGATTTTTGTGTATATATCACTGTAAATATATACTCCCCACTGAAAAGGAGCGAAATATGTTAAGTGAGCATGTTCTGTCTTGTGTCTGTATCAGAAGAATTCTGTAATTATAAAATGTAGATGAGGTGGTTTTCCATTCATTTATGATATAAAAAAATTATATGAACTGTTTTAGTGGCTGCAACTTGTAATTATGCAGAATGCTTCAAAATTATCCATTCCTTATACTAATTGAGTGATTATATGCCACTAAATTAGTGTTCTTAGTGGTTACATTGATAGACTTTCTGCAGAAAAAACAAACACCCTGAAATTAATTTGTGTCTTCCTCCTCCTCCTCCTCCTCCTCCTTTTTTTTGCATTTGATATGTCCTATTGATATTTGAGTTCATACACTTCCCTTAAAGAATATGCACCTTTAATTACTGTAATCTCTCTTTCAGGACTATTACATAATCTGATGCAGTTCTCCCCTGGATATGGATCACATCCTCAAAACTACAAAGCTCCCTCAGGAAACTTCTCACAAGTGCCCAGTAAAGCAATTCCTTCACAGTTGGGAAACCATTATGGTGCAGATTATTATTCTGCCCAATGCTCTGTTCCAGCACAAAATGCTAATGTCTTTTCTGTGACACCGAAGATGTTAAACTCGCAGGGATCACAACACTTGTACAATAGAGCACCTCATAATGCAGAACCACCAGGACCTATCCAAGGAACAATACTTCCTGCATCCCAGATGCATACCAGCATTTCACAGTCATATTCTTCATTTACTTGTCCCTACAACAATTCCGTCTTGTATTCTGCCAGCTCTTCTGTTCCATCTCAGGGATTTGTTGCTTCCTCTAGTCATTATCCCATGCCTCCTGTGTCTAGTGTTGCATACCCTAATATTGTATATCCTCCCATGTCTACTGATAATCCATATGGGCAGATGCCTAGTTCCCAGCCTGTGATGGCACATGGGCATCTGAATGCAGCAGGTGCTTATTCTAATCAAACTAGAGCCCCACCTATAGAACAACCCAGAGTTCCTTTGGGCTACACTTCTGCATCATGGAGTGCTCCAGAGCTCCATTTGGCTCAGGGGAATCATGGCAACTTTACAGGATCTCTTCCTGAAGCAAACAACAGAATGAGTACAGGTATTGCACAAAGAAATTATATGTGACAGAGAATGCAAATACGCTTAAAATGAATTGACTGTTGTACATAAAGTGTGCAAGCTAAGGAAGCTAAATGTTTTACTATGCTTCATATTTTCATTTTTTTTCCTTTTCTCTCCAGCTTGCTTTTTCTTTTTGAACTATAATATAAATCAAATACTTTGCTTGGTGCTGTTAAAATAAGTTCTGTCTTATATGCAAGATTGTTTGCTCTATTTAAATCGCCCATATCTTTAAAAGAATAAAAATTATTGTTTATAGGATTTTAATAAGCAATATGTTGCCTATAATAGGCAATGTTGATTTGTGCATTATTCTCAGACTGTTTTCATTTTAATGCTTCTTTTTTTAAAACTGGAAGCTGATTCTTCATTTTCTTGCTGATAATAATGTTCCTCAATAGGCTAATTTGTTTTTCAAGTTTGATTTCAAACATCCATTCATTGTTTGGGTGTCTGTAAGCAAATACATGTACAGGTAGTCCTCGACAATTGAGCCCAAAATTTCTATTGCTAAGTGAGATACTGTTACTTCAGTTTTGTCCCATTTTACGACCTTGTTTGCCAAAGTTGTTAGGTGTGTCATTGCAGTTGTTAAGTTAGTGACACTGTTGTTAAGTGTATCTTGCTTCCCCACTGACTTTGCTTGTCAAAAGATCACAAAAGATAAGATTACGGGAAGATTTAGCGCAAGAAAATATTATTTATTCTTGGTTTCAATATAGGCAACTAGTAGATAAATGGAAGGTGGATTGTAAATTGGGTTTTCTTAGAGAAGATGGAAATCTTATTAAGCAAGTCAAGGATCAAAGACAAACCCATATCAAGAGAATTTATGGGGTATTAGTTGAAATGGACTCAGAAACGGAATTAATTAAAGATTGTATGATTAGATGGGCGCAGAATTTTGGTGTCCCAGTCTCATTGGACATTTGGGAAACCATTTGGGTGAGAAATGTCAAATTTACACAAGCACAGAACCTTAGGGAGAATTTTTATAAAATGTTTTATAGATGGCACCTTGATCCACAAAAAATGTCTCTTATGTACCCTGACGTGCAACCCAAATGTTGGAGATGTGGTTATAAGGATGCTTCCTATTATCATATTTGGTGGTCATGCAGAGAGATAAAAGCATTTTGGATCAAAATATGGTGGAATATCCAGAGAATTTTTAGAAGGAGGGTAAAATTTACTCCGCAATTATTTTTGTTAGGCATTGTTACAGATTGTGATACAAAGGAGGTTGTATTGATGTTAAATTTGATTACAGCCGCTAGGCTGTTAGTAGGACAATATTGGAAGAAGGAATCTTTGCCTACGTTGCAGGAATGGTTTCTTAAAGTAGCTTATCTGGCGGAAATGGCAAAAATTTCGGCTTTCTTAAAGCAACAAACGCAAGAGAAGTTCCTTGCTGTTTGGGACAAATGGATAAAATTTATACAATTTAGATTGGGTACACAAAAATATCACATAGCTTTTTTATAAGTTTTATTTTCATATATATATATAGATATTTTATATATATATATATAAATATAATTTTTTTAATTTAATTTTTTATTTTTATTTCTTAATTTTTAATTAAGCCTATATTCTGCTCTGGGAAGCTCAGGGGGGGGAAGGGAGGGTTTTTGTGAGGGGTGGGGGATGGGGTTTTTTTTTATATATATATATATGTAATGTTTAGTTTCTTTTTTGTATATGTTGTCTTTTGTTTTGTATTGTTCTTGTCTTTTTGTAAAATTTATAAAACTTTCAATAAAAAAAAAGATCACAAAAGATGATCACATGACCCTGGGACACTGCAATATTAGTCAGTTTCCATGTGACTCAAATTTGATCTTGAAGATGCTGCAATGGTTGTGTGAAAAATGATCATAAGTCACTTTTTCACTTCCATTGTAACTTTGAACAATCACAAAACAAATTGTTGTAAGTCAAGGACTATCTGAATAGAAAGTAAATATGTGTAATGAAGCAAATTAGTAATACAAAGATTCATAGAAAAAGTCCTACACAAATGTTTCAACTCTTTTGAAAAATTCTACATTTCTTCATTATATTCATCTATTGTGATGTAACAGGCATCAAGCATTAAATGCTGAGTATAATCAGAATGAGTTCAGTCATTAAGACCAAGGTGCAGCAATCTCTTTCATGAGAATAAAGTTATGTTGTAAATATGGGATTTGTCATCTTTGCTTACTTTTCTTGTGTCTTTTAAGACTTAGACAAAATTATCGTAAACAATATTAATAGACATATTATAAATGACCATACTTTTATTTAAAAAAACCTTTGAATCCATTATCTGCATGCCATTTTCAGAAATTTCATGCTATATCTGTTTTTAAATGTATAACTTCTGTCACTTTGAAAATGACTTGTTAATCAGTGTAAATAATCCCTTATAACATATACTCCCCATGTTTGATTTTTCAGGGTCACCACATTCTGTAAATCAGAATATCCAGTCAGTAAAACCTATTCAAGGAGTGGCTTCAGCTACAACTTCTTCAGTTAAAACATCTATTGTAGAGAAGACAGGAAAGCTCATCACTTCATCTTGTCTTACACAGTCATCAGATTCTTTTCTTCATGAAGGTATAGAAATTGGCTTAAAAGAAAAACATTTTTTGTGCTCCAAATTGTGCAGAATTGTAAGTTAGGAATTTATAGGACTTTTCTATGCATCATTTTTTAATAAAATAGCTATTGGTTAGCATGGGTAATCTGAAAAGAGTGTATAGGCCTGTAATTTTAATATTTATAAGATTTAGTTCTAATTTAACTACCTTCCATATTTTTATAATGCTGAAATAATGTACGTAATTTATACTATTGTAAACTGTCCAAAATTACATATTTAATTAAAAGAGCCTGTAATTAATGCAGGACAGCTTTTGACTTCTTAGAATTGAAATTATAGAGTCAGAATCAAGTTGTCCCAATGGTGATCTTTAGTTTAAATATTGTCATAACTCATGATGTGTACAAATTAATTTATCAAATTATTTGCTGCCCATTTCACAGTTCAAAGTGACTTTGAGCAGCTTATAGCTATATACAAACATTTGACAATTATAAGTATAAAAACTAATTACAAAAATTAAAACTAACTTATTTTCATTTATGTACAAAATGTTGTGGGCAAAACAGTACAGAAGTTTTCAGACAGCCCATGCTCAAACCCAATATGTCTGTTTTTGGACATCAACCCAGATGG